ATCCAAGATATTTCCGCAAAAACAATATTAATTATTGGATAAAACCACATTTTAAATTTTTAAATCATAAATAGGAATTAAATTAATTTTAAATCTAATAATTCTGAATTAATAAATAAATAAATTCGCAATATATAGAAATAAATCGAATTTGGAATTGATATTTTCCGTTTCTCAGATTTTTTCGGAAAAACTTTTCTCTGATCTGAAAACTTGGTACTTTTTCATTTCATAATGCAAAGACTTGAGCTATAAGCCAAATAGGCAAACTGAAATTATGAGCGCCTACAAGTATGCATACATACACATATGTACAACGTAAATGCAAAAAAACAAAAAAAAAAAAAAAAAAAAAAAAATTAAAGAAAAAAAAAAAAAAAAAAAAAAAAAAAAAAAAAAAAAAAAAAAAATTAGAGAAGGGATTACAAACGGCTCTGCTATTTCAAAAACTACCAAATTATCATCTAAGGGTCGTTTATCCTCAAAAATGCATTAAGCTCTTTGCTAAAATATGGCACAAATGTGAAATTTACGCAAAAAATGCATACCAGTCTATCATCGTAAGAAAGACATCGAGAAAAACGTTCCTCCATAAATGGTACAACCGGTTCTCCATACATTTTTGGTAAAATTGATCTCACAACACCCACCGTTGATTGATTTTAATGTTAACGATATTGTAAATATGGTGGTAATGGCGTTTAGTCATGCTTTTGGGTAAGCAGTTACAGTCGTAGGGCTATACCCAATTCTCATTTCTGAGTTCTCGCCACACCCGTTGTGTCAGATCGGGAAGCCAACCCATAAAGAGAGGAAGTTTTACCGATGTCACTCCAACATATTTGAAGTCTGATTGCAACATCTGTTCATCAGAGGTGTGCCTGCGAGAGGACGTCGGTCTTGAAACAAGCGGCTTGCTGTACAAATGCGTATAAAACTCTATACTACTCGAAGATTGTGGGCTGTGTTTCAAATTCGCCACGTAGAAACCACTACCATTGGAAAAGAAACAACAGCCTCGTATAAAAGTCCCAACTTTTCATGACGATCACAGCAAACATAATAATGATATCCACCTGGAATGGAAAAATACCCAGATGGTTCATGACTTTGTAAATTCAAAGACTGATATCATTGCCATCCAAAAAATCCGATGGACGTTACAAGGACGTATACGAATAGGTTCTTTTGACATTGATCGCTGTTAAATAAAGGGTAGCAAATTCGATTTGGGATTCGTGGTGGGAGAAAGATTCCGTCGTTGAGTCTGGCATTCACACCGGTGGATGAGCGTCTAGCCACAATCTGCATCAGTGAAGATGGCTAATTGACTTCACAGAGGTTCGAAATATAGACAATCGTCTGTTGTACTATATTCCATTACCGGAGCGAAAAAGCAGTTCGATTATGATGTGATAGATGGCCGACATGTCTCCAGCGTACTTGACGTGCGCATGCTCCATTACAGCGCAGATAAGCGCCCACCTCTGTACAGCAAATCGCACTCTTCAATAAATACTGGGAAACGATGACGTCGAGAAGCTACTATCACAAACGACAGCAAAATGGTTTTCTACTTGACTTGCACCCCTCCACTCTGAGAGCACTAATCAGCAACTCGGTATAAGCGAACTATCCAGCTCTTTACGTACAGCTGCAAGTGAAACAGCCAGTATGATGAGGAATGTCGTGTTGTGGTGGAGATAAAGCTGACAGTCGATCTCACAATTTTGCAATCACCCATAAAATGAGCGGGACAGTCGGCTCGAAGCAACTGGAATGCATCGCGATTTTTATCCGGCCAAGGACTGTCAAGGACCGAAATTACTTCAGGAATGTTTTTTGCCGCTACAATAACACAGATACCGATGGCGTACGTCGGTGATATTAATCCTGTCTTCAAAGAAACAGTCATCGTTGTCGAGGTGGTGGCTCTAATGTCACTGTTGACAGTCATAACTTTGAAGTCGTGGATAATTTCGTCTATCTCGGAACCAGCATTAATACCAACAACAATATTAGCCTTAAAATCCAACGCAGAATCACTCTTGGCAACTTGTCCTACTTTGAACTGAGTAAAGTCATCTCCCGACAAACCAATACCAAAATCTATAATTCACTCATTAACTCCGTCCAGCTATATGGTGCAGCGGCATGGACGATGACAACATCTAATGAGTCGGCGATACGAGTTTTCGAGAGTAAGGTTCTGAGGAAGATTTGTGGCCCTTTGCGCATTATGCAAGGCATTCGATAGAGCGATGAGCTGTACGAGTTATACCTCGACATTGACATAGTTCAGTGGATTAAGAGGCAGCGGCAACGCTAGCTAGGTCATGTTGTCCGAATGGATAAAAACATTCCAGCCCTGAGAGTATTCGACGCGGAAGCAGGGAAAGACACCGCCATTACGCTGAAAAGACCTGGTTATATTTGGAATCTGAAATTGGCGCCAAACAGCGAAAAGGAAGAACGACTGGCGCGATGTGGTAAACACGGCTATAACCGCAAAAGTGGAGTAAAACCATTTTAAGTTCATTTTCTATGCTTGCTACTGTGGGTACGAGGGTATCTGGTTGCCAATGGATCGAAGTCCATGAAGTATTGAAGTTTATGCTAATTTTAATATTGTAATTAACACAAGGGTTAAAGCTGCAAATAAGTACAAGGTTTCTTAAGCACTATGCCACAAAGTTAACT